AAGCAGTCATGCCAGCCTGGCTCGCGCATTTGTTAGTTCCCATCTGAAAACATATCACACAGCAAATAACTTTCTCTATGTTTGCAAGAATAACATCACATAATACAGATCAATCTATCTGATATGACAAGAATTTTTTAAGGTGCATGTCCAACCTGCAGTCCAATAACACACTGGCCAGCCTTCATCTTCTCCTCATCAAAGTGCCTTTCTTGCTTATCTGCGTATTTCACTCCAATGTCAACCTTCGTGTCCATGCCTTTGGTTTTTGCCTGTAAAATGGTAATAAATGTACTTTTAATAACACAGCAACATGTATGCTTGCAATCAACAAACATCCAGCACAACCCCCATTTGAAGCAGGGGTGTCAAACATAACCACTAAAAGGACGATATTAAAAAGATCTCAACAAATTCATGGGCCACATAATACCTATGTTTTTATTTAATTTTTTACATAACATTTTGCTATAACCTGAACTGGCCACAGTTCATTTAAGATATGTCATCAGCATAGGCATTTGTAGTATACCTTGAAGTACACACACATACACATACATATGTATATGTATATGTATACATAACTGTTAAACCTCTTTAAATGTACACAGGAGGTAGGTCTTTTAAACCTACCTATATACTTATATGCTTGAACTAGACACTTAGAAACTTTTCTTTGCTGCAAGTTGATTGATTCTTGGGACCACTTTCTATGCTGTTGAGCTATGTGTTTATATAGGTTGAACTGCAGCTTCAATGCAGCTAGTGTGTTTAGTGATATGACAGGTGTGGTGGAATTGTGGTGTAACTACTGTCCCTTAGACTGTTGGTGGTGGACAGGGTGGGAGTGAACATTATGTTGCAGTGCATACTGGGGATTGTAGTACAGCACATTGTGAAATGGGCGAATGTTAATAGAAAATTAAAATAATTTCACAGGCTTGGACCTTATGTTTGACACATGGGCTTTAAAGTAAAAGGCAATGGAGAAATAATAGATGGTCAGAACATACCATGCTGGCTAGGGCGAGCAGTGTGGTCTGGACTTGAGTCATGTTCCCATTTTCAAAGAGGTCATTGGCTTCAAAGATGTCATTGGGCTTCAAGCCATAGTTTAAAATGGCTTTGATGAAATTCCCAAGGTTCTCCAGCTAAGGGAAGGAAACAGAGGATTTCTCAGTAAGGGCCATTTCTCAGTAACACCATCGGGATGCAATAGCCAGACAAAAGACATGGTGTTAGCGTGTGAGGTAAAGACTTGATGAATGGGTCTATCTGTTCCCATAAGCATGCAACAGCTATATGGGCTACGGTTCTGCAAGACCATTACTGCACTGTTTCTAGACCTATATCTCCACTTTCTAGGACACTGGGCATCTTTAACAACAGAAGATCTCTACTGGGTGGAACACAGCAGCAGCAGTCACTCTACCTTATGCCAGTTCAATTGTGAGTGGTTGATTTTCTTAATGGCACCTGGCTGTAGCTTGTTTATTAACCTAAGAGGAAACAATGACAAAGATAAACCTTATAAGAACATTCTTATTACTTCCAAACGAAACAGAATACAAGCTATTTTATACAAAAAACAATAATATAATAGGATGAGCATAATCTTAATGTCCTTTAACTCTACACACAGAGGACACTGCAGCATGAATGACTGTTTGACCGATCTGTCAGCCATGCAAGCTGAGTCAGCGCCCTCTCCATGCCACAAGCTATGGGCAGATTACATAGCACTGAGCTGAAAGGCAGTCTTCATTTCAGCTGTGCTGCAGTCCCCTGGGACATTATGACACCAAATGCACTGGGATCAAAACACACACATACAAACTCTCAAATCCTTTCAAAATAACATGATCACATGAACTTACTCGCACAAAATGACACCATCCTTCAGGCCCTTCTGAAAGTTGTCTCCAATGGGCATGCCCGTCACCTCCTCAATCCAGAAACGAAGCTCCTCCTCCTTTTGAAGATCATATTTCTGTGCAATCTAAATGAGAAAGTGACAAAACGTGCATATTAGGCACTTCATACTTTAACTCTTACCTAGAGCTGAAACATGTACTACATAATGTCTGTTAACTTATATATATATATATATATATATATATATATATATATATATATATAGCCAAGATGCAGCCAAGACATGATCCCAGGATTAGTATTCACCCACAGCTTGCAGAGGGTGATTGCACAATTGTGTTTTATCATTCATCCTCAGCCACACTATGTTCAGCCATGTGAAATCACATCCACTGATCAGCACCAGATGTAGCAGTTCAGGACACAAATGCCTTCGAGAAACATTAAAAGGCAAAAAAGAAATATATTGATTTGCACAGAAATCAAACTTTTTACACATTCTAGAGGTTCACTTTTAGTGCTATTTAGTTTATCAAATTCAGGCACTGCTTGGCCTGTTCTTTTGTTTTTCTTAACAACAGAATGTAAATTCCAACGATGAATCACACGCATTGAAACTTTGTTTACTTGGTTCTGTTTCTAGTAGTTTCACATGCATGTATGACACTGGATCTTCCTACCAAAAGGGAAAAATCAATGCTAAGAACTGTGAAGGTCTGCAGTACAGCTGTGAGCACTACACTTGCTCTTATCAGGTAGGAGGATATGAATACAAGATACGACTATAATGCAGGGTAAATTACTCCAATAGTAGTAAATAATAAAAAGAAAGAGGAGTTTTAATCCCAGCACAACAGAATGCATACTGAATCCCACTTAACATTACTCTAGAGCCAGCCTCAAGACAAAACCCAGGAAACGACATTTATCTCTGGTGTGCCATTTCAAGGACAGCTTTCAGAGTCAGCTCCTCCATTGACAAAGCGGATACAGCTATCAGGCCTCAGATCAGAGTGAGAGGGAGGGCCCATGGGGATTGTAGCAATAGAGATTGGGCCAGATCCCTGGGAGTAAAGTAGATGAGCTGAAGGCCCCCTACCCTGGAGCTGTTCCCTCACACTCCCTGCAGCCTAAACATGATAAGCAGGAGCCTTCATTAAATATGGAGCACTCCACATGGCCTTCAGCACACTGCCTGCTGTCACCAGTTTTACTCCCACCCAGTCCCTCACGGCTGCCACTTATTTACAGAGACACCAAGCATACCCATACACTCCTAGGAATGCAGCTAAATCAACTTACATTGTACACATAATGCAATGAAGCCTTTCAATGTAAATATCTATGTTTGGTGTAAGGAATAAAATTCCTGGTAGAAAATCCTTTTCAAAATCCTTTTCAGTGGCACCAAAGCTTCTATTTGTGCTCTCTCGAGTATCTCAAGATAAGATGAAAAAGAAGACATGAGAGAAAATATCTGGCTTCCACCCCACTTCATTGTTCAGTTTTTCCTTTTGGTCACACATGTAACTTATTCTTGTCAGTGCAGATAGTAGCCTATTGCAAACAACTGAGCTAGGACAAGAAGGCCGAGAGAGTAATATTAAGGAATACAAAACATTCGTCCTAAAGACATAAGAGTAAATGTAGCCTTTAAGAACTTCCACACAAAAGCAAAGGCCTTCATAAAAATGTTTCCCACTTTTCAATGGACAGAAGCCTGGAGCGTAGTGAATCACTGGCCCCTCGCAAAAGCCTGGCAGCTGGAATGTGAGGTCAGTCACCAGGAAAAAAAAATAAATAAATAGGAAAACACTATAGGGCCCCGTCACTCCCTCTGTGCAATTTGAGGTCAGCCAAAAAGTCTTTTCTCACATAATGATAGACAAAAGGGCAAACCTTATAAACTCTTTCATTATCAAAAGGGCAAATATGGAGTTGTGCAACAAAGTTCAAAAGCCTTTTTTATAAAAGGTTAACATGAATTTGGAATCTCTGACAATGACAGTGCACATGCCATGCAGAGCCAATTCATTTAGAAATTAATTGGCAAAGTACAGAGACCAGCAGAGAACAGAGACGCTCCTCTTAGCAGCAGAGGAAAAAAATAGAGGGCAGAATTTCTCTCTCTCCTTACTTCTTCCAGAAGTTGTCCTCTGGGAAGACTGCCAATGATTGAGGGAAAAAAAAGACAAGACAAAAAACAGTCATCTAGCTCTTCTTTTTTGAGTCATTAAAGCAAGTTATTGAAGAAAAATCAGAAAAACTAGCACTCAGTCCTGCAGGAGTAGAACTCCCACTCACTTTTCTCCTTCACAATCCTAAGCATTTCCTGATGACTGAGCAAAACAGGACAAACATCTGCACAAAGAGGGCTCAGGGAGCATGAAGTTTCTGTCTGCAGTATGATCAGTTCAACAAAGATCAATAATACATGTGCAGTGTACCAAGAACTCGCCTTTAACTGGGCTTCTCAGATCTTTTTCATGGATAAAATAATAGTTGCAAGAGGCGAGAAAAGAATATTTCTTTTCTATATCACCATCCTTTTTAAAAGATAGTAAGGTGATCTCAATAAAAACATACAGATCAATAGGTAGAAATCCTTAATGGAAACTATGACCAACTTAAAAGGCTTGTTCAAGTACCCCAGCTGGTATTCATTAATATTTAACCACCAGTTAGTGAGCGAAATGCTCAGCAGAGCATGTAAAGCAGGAGATTGGCCGTACCATGCTTGTGAGGTCAACTAGAATCATTTACACATGAATACAAGTGAAAGACATAACGTGACCAGCAATGTCAGTGGATAACACAAAAACAAAAAGTCCTTAAACACTCAGAACATCAGTGCTGAACAGATATGTGTGAAGAATTTCAAAAACAAACATACTCAAGATAACGTTGTGTACCTGGCCTTCAAAGCTAATGCCCCAAGATCTTTTAAAAGGCCAACAAAAAGGCAGCAGGTACTACAAGGGATGTGGGAGACGAAAACAGCTCAACAATGGCCTCAGGAAATGGACTTTCCTGTCATACCCAAAATGGCAACACAGGGTTAACAGCTGCAACCCTCCACTCAGCCTGAACCAATCTAGAAAAATATTGCTCGTCAGCACATTGCAGGGAAGGCAGCAACCTTTCAGCCTGCTGTGCCTCTCCATCTGCACGAACCGTGTGTCAACGAAGGTGGGTTACGGCAAAGTCCTGGCTGGAATGTGGCATTAGGGAGAAATGGGCCATGGCTGCCGGCTTAACCTGGTGTGGTTACATGAAAACCATGCAACCTTTCAGAGGCCCATTCAGCTCTATTCTGGCTCTTCTCCAGGGCACTCTGCTCCACAGTCTCAAGAGGAACATGCTTACAGAGGACGGTCAGAAAGCAAGATGGATGAGCATGCCAAGGGTAAATGTGAATTTACCACAGTGAGAAAGAACAGTTTCCCAGGCTAGAGAAAAACCAAGGTATACTGATTTTTGAGACATCTCCAAGCATATCTGCTGAAATTCCTGTTGATACATACTATACTTCTGGGAAAATCTTTGAGAACAAACAGCAAATTAATCTGTTTGCTACTGCCTTTAAACATTAACTGCCAACAAATTCTTGAGAGGAGTTTTAGAGCTTACAGTAATTGGGGGTTGCAAGTTGCTGAGGAACTAATATATAAATTTTTCGAAACTAATGATCATAATGGTACAGTACTCACTTTTAATTCAGTCACATCTGGCTTTATTCTCTAAAACATTGTCACTTCAGACAGACACTGTGCATTGCTCTGGACAGCGTGCCGACTGTTCCAACAATCCACCCACCAAAAAGCAAACATTAGCACAAGCCAGCGCCGAAAGAGCCCCCCTGGTATGTGGAGAGCTGATGACTGCGGAATAAGACGAATACTTGACGAAGACGAAGTAGAAACATTAATGTCCTCTTAAATAAATCTGGCAGAATAATACCAGTAGTGTGCCATTTGTGTTAAGTGATTAACTGGCTATGATGTGTTGGCAATAAGCCTGTAATGACTGACCCTTGACTAAGTTATTGCATAACCGGAGAAGGGGGCAGAAGGTCATGATTATGCTGCAAATATCCTTTCCCCTTTTCCCATCTCAGTCATCCTTGAAATCTTATATTAACAAGAGAAACAACAGCATTTGAAAGACAGAAGTGATTAAGTGACTGTTAGCAATGCTCAGGGAGGAACGAGATTTAGCACCATTAGAGAAGTTTTGTACAAAATAAAATCTGACTTGGATGTCACTCTTAGCCTCCTCCACTTACTTCCCACATTTCAAAGAGTCAGAAAACAGAACACGCAGGCACCAACGAGTGCTCAGCTTTCAGCAAAGCAAGCTGGTATTGAAACTAGAGGAACGAGAAAGACAAGTCTCAGAAAACTCCTGACGCATTAAAAATGGTCTGAAATAAAACGCTCCTGTGAAGGATGTTCTTTTGCTGTTAATGAATCCAGGTTTGACCAAAGTTCTTACTCACAAGCCTTTCTCTTTAAAAAGGTCACGAAAGATACAACTCGATAAAGTGTAGCACAACACTCACTAATTTCCCATCAGTAGCTAACGTTACACACTGCTTAGGCTTCTTACGAATTCCAACATTTGTTTAAACAAAAAAGCAAATATCTAGTCTTGTAGATGTGTGAGGCTCATTTAATTAACCTTTAGCCATATGAAAATAGGTTTTTTTTTCTCCAAATACAAAATATTGTGATTCAATAAACATTCCAACTGAACTAAATTGTGCTTTATCCAGTTTTTTAACACTGGTTTTATGAGAGTGAGCTTTTTGCTCACATAAAAAAAGAATGAAACACAAAAGCAATGGTTTTCTACTTAGCATTATGTAACACTAAAGTGCGCTAAGAGCCTGGCAGCAAAACTTGGACCACATGGTTCAGAGATACCACGGGCCAGACGAGGTAAACCAGCGGAGCCACAGCTTACACAGCTTAACTGTGCTTCCAGACACTTTCCAAAAATAAAAATAAATCATCACACATCAAGAAGTTACTTTTTCCTTAGGAGGTATCTATTGTGTGTTAATGAAAAGTTGGTCTGTTAGTGTGGGCCTAGTGTTGGTCTGATGTCTGTGGACACAGGACTGTGCAATGTGACAATATTTCCCGGTACTGTGATAAATTACAACATGTTATGCTTCGCTAAGTATGTTGTGGGTATAATCAGTACTCAAGGAACACTGACCAACTACATGTTTCATTACAAAGACAATCATTTGTCCTGTTTATTTGTATTTAGTGCAGTGAAGCACTGAATAAAAAAAATCAATGTGTTCATAGTTTCTGATAGCACTTTTTAAAAGTGGCACTACTGGTGCTTTTTGTCTTTTTTATGTTTTCCCATATCACCAACCCCTATATGGAAGCCCTTTTGTCAATGGAGCCATTAACCTCTAGGCTCCAGTAAACGTCACATCTCAGGAATGCTGAGAATTCCTGTGCTTAAAATACCACAGACTTTTGTTCGGAAGCTACCAGAACAATGGCTGCAAATACTGAACGAGTAAGTTATTTGAGAAATGTTCACCGTGACTAGTAAAGCCGATCAGTGTTTTGTGTATGAAGTTCCAGAAAACCCATAATTTGGTACTTTACCTCTTCCCGCTCCAAGCCCTGGACTAACCGATGATGTCATCTTTATGGACTTCTAGAAGACATTCCTCTCTCTTTCTCAACACACTGCCCATTTAGTTTGTATACTGACCCCCATTTTGCAGTGCTAGCTGATTGATTATATTCTGTAGTAGCCAGCATGTCCAAACAGAAACAGGACAGCAGGGCATTTAGGAAAAGGCTGCTTTTATGGCAAGACACCAGTCTGTGCATTCCTGCTCTGTCAGATACGTTACACTGAAAACTGCTGATCAACAGCGACCATGGCTTTTACACAAGCACAATATGTGAAGCTGAACGTGTTAAATTCCTAATGTGCAGCTCTTTTCTATGGCCTAGCGCTCTGTGTGAGGATACTGGGAGGGGGCACACCCGCCGGCTCCTCCCATGGACATGAACAATGAGCTAAAATGTATAAGGCTTTGGGTCTTCCATTCATTAAAAAAGTGGCACTTACCTAAACAAATTACCAAAGCCACTCTGAAATAAAACTACTGAGGTCTCGACCTTCACATAAAAGATGTAGGTTACTACTGTGAAAAATCGACATATGGATCGACACTGTAGCCCTGCTAGCCCTGAAACTGAATCCAAAGCTTCGATAAAAAGACTAGACTTCTGTCTAGATTTGTATTTGTCTGTGGCAGCGTTAAAGCCAGCAGTCTGAGTGAAAGAATGAGCTCACTACATGTTCTTTTCCTCCGTCTCTCTCTAGTTTCCCTCAGTGTGAAAGTTAGTTAGTCCTCCTATGTCACTTTACTGCAGTGTAACTTAACGTTTCGGCTGGAAAAAGTGCTCAGAAAGTAGAACATTCATAAACACGAAGTGCTCAAACCTCGTAAAGTATCCCGTTACAGCTGGAGGTGAAAGCTAGCTGTTTGTGCTGTTTGCCGCCGCGGGGATGAAAGGACATCACACGGGCACGTTAAAGTAGAGAAAGGCTCGCTGTGTTTTTTACTCTATATTTGATGAACTTCATAGCAGGTCCACCTTACCTTGCTCTTAACTTCAGCTGATAATCCGTAGGCTGGTCCCTTGTTGAACTGAGTCATGATGCTCTCGCTTTTAAAGTTTCTTTGTGTCCGTGTATCTGGAAACAAAGCAGGCCTACCAACAAAGACTTTACTTGACCAGATTTCTTTTTAAAACCACAGTGGCGGTAAATCGGAGATCCACTGCTGCTCAGTCCAGGCACGTTAAATCCCTGTCGGCCTGTTTCTGCTCCGCGCCGCTCGCTCGGGAAGTTATCGCTTCAGTAGCTGATTTTTGGAGAGCGGGGAAAAAATAGTAGAGTCGCCAGACGATTGACGGCTTTCCTTCAGCCAATCACGGCGGCCGGATTTGCATACGCAGCCCATCTTTTGTTGCAAATCTTCACCGGCTACCACTTAAAGGACCGTTTCGATGGGTTTTTAACTTTTTCAGTACTTTCAAATTTTCAGGCTACTTACTTAATCAGAATATCTGTGACAGAAGGAATATACTTTTCAACAGTTCTTATTTGGTGCCCAACGTTTACCTGTTTTAAATGAACTGTGTTTATAACTTAGTTCCTAGTTAAATTCTGAACTGTTGTTAACTGCGGAGGTTCGTCCAAACTCACTCAGGTAGAGGTATTGGTACTTAAGTGAAACTAAAGGGGAATTTCACCGATTTTTTATTTTAAAAATCCAATTTATTCAAGTGTTTAATTCTTCCAATTCTTCCAAAGGCTAAACTATATAACAATGGTTACTAAATATGCAGCCTGATGCCAGAGATGTTGTTATAGAATAGTTTTGAGGTAGAGTTTTGGCTTTAAACTTAAATTTAAAATCCATTCATGGTGGAGAGGTACATGAAGGATGTTATAAGGCAAGGCAGCTCCTTAAGAAAACCTTTTTTTTTTCAGATTTACCACTATTTTACTATTATCAACATTACACTTCAAAACCCAGAAGAAGTAAGTTCATCAGATGTTTCACATGGTAAAAAAGTAAATATATTTTAGCTACCTGTATTTGTGTTGTAGACATCAAGACCACTGATTCCTCTCACCACCACTGTAAAGGAATCAGTAGGATTCTTCAGAAAGGAGTATTTCGCATCTACCTACTCCAAATACATTTATTTATGTCGCAACAGTTGAATCATGCAGACGTTTTGAAAAATGGGTGTAATTCCCCTTTAAGTTCTGAGTAACTTGCAGAACTGCAATAGAGCTTCTCAGTATATCCAGCATCTATCAGCAGAGGAGATTTGTTACTTTTCAAGTTTTTAAGAGGCACAATAACATGGACAAAAATTAAAACCTACAATGTGAAATCTCTGTTTGCTGAGATGCACATCTGTTTCCACTCTTTCTAAATAGAGCGTTTTCTAAATAGAGGCACCCTGTGAGACAATGTGCTCATCTTAATTACTTTCACATTATTGAAGACATGGAACATAGCTTATTAACTATCTACACAGTCACAGAAATGAGTTAACAGAACATTTAAATGGGACTTGTAACCCTTACTAGGTTGTTTGCAGTCTACAACCTTAAATGTGGCTGTTCCCTATCAATAGACAGTGTTAGAACCAACAGACACACATAGAGGAGACCAAAAAAGACAAAAGTTGAGTTGGGTTAGTGTTACACAAGGCAAGATACAAGTTTTCTGAGCAACTATTATAGCTGAAGAGATGCACTGAGGACACTTTAATGTAGGTGCTGAGAAGAATTGTGTACCTTGTGTCATTTAGTCTTCCTCTATATTTCAGAGGTGTTCTGTACATATCCAGCATCTCATAATAAAGAAGACCTGCCGCTTGCTGTGCAGATGTGTAAGCCTGATCTCTGTCACACCAGACACATAACAGACAACTTTAAATCAGTCTGAGTTAGGTCACTCCACCGTGGGTGTTAGTGTTCTGCCGTACCAGCAGACTGGGCCTACTCATCCTACTGTCGCTGACTTAATGACTGCAACCAGCTGCCAATAACAACAGTCAGCCTTCATTATGATGGTGCAGGACTAACAGCCATGACAGCATTCAATAGCAGAGGTGGGTAGAATAGCTTACGCCCATCCTCAAAGTGCAGTTTCTTTCTCAAACTTTACATAAATACACGTAACTGAGTAAATGGAACTTTCTACCCATGCTACCTACTCAATATACACCTCTTCTGATCAGTATATTAGCACGAGTACCATTTCTCAATACTCTAGCATTTTCTGTATCTGCATTCAGTCCTATTGCTATTTGTGGTGGCTTACATTTACAGCAAAAGCAAATCCTGCACACTATAGAGTCACAGGCCATCCTTCATTAATTTAATTTCCTGTTAAAATGCCCATTTTATACAAGGTTTTAATTTTTCTGTAGATATTTCTGAGGAGATTAGACATAAGATAAGCCACTTACATGAGGAAGGGGACAGTCAAGGAAAATATAAGTGGAAAAAAAATACAAAACTGTTTGAAATAATTAAATTAAAATATACAGAGAAAAGGACCATGCCATACATGGTAGACCACCAAAAGTGTCACAAAGATAAACAGTACTTAAAGCTTTTATCCCCAAAGGACAAAATTAGCTCCACTCTTGCTTTAAATCTAAAATCCACAGGTGTTTCTGTCTATCCTTCTACTGTGAGAGGACAACATAGTGAGTCTGAAAGGATGTGTAGCTGTCAGGAAGCCCTTACTGAGAAATGAATATAAACCAAAAATGAGAAAAAAAAATGTTAATCAAACAAAGAAGATGCTGGTGTTCTCAGAACAATGCAGAACAATGGACTGACCACCCCAGAGTCCAGATCTCAACATCACTGAATGTGTTTGGGATTACTTGGCTTGTGAGAAGCAAAATGCAACCAACTTCTAAGAAGGTGTGAAAAAATATCCCTGCAGATTTGAAAAACTGAAAGCAGGTCCCCGAAAAGAACTGAAGCTGTAATAAAGGCAGACACACTAAATACTGAAAAAAAAAATTAGTTATTGATGCTTATGTGTAATTATCTGTTAAATGTTTTCTGCTTTTTTCTCTTATGCTGAAAAATGAATAACATCTACTTAATGAAAGGATGGTGTATGACTTACGTCTTTTTTCTGTTCAGGGACTTCCTGTAGTGTGTAATTTAGAGGAAACTATAAAGCAACCTTACACTCAATTGAGTTGCATTAACTTGTCCAGAAAAGAGTCATGATGACACGTATTCATGTGCAATGGCTTTAGCATTCTCCACTCCTCTAAAAATGAGAACGGAAATAGCACAAGCACATTTGGGGTTCTGCGTGCTATAAAAAGAAACAATTTCTGGAGGGATTTTTGTTTATCCCTCCCCCCTTTTCTTATGGCTGCTGGAAAACAAAACATCCCAATTATTCACGCCACTTCCTTTGGTCCTCAGAAGCGTCTGTACAGGAGCAGAGGCAGCACGGACAGGAAACACTCCACAATGCCACTCCAGTCTTTCCAGAGTCAGCTCTAACAGCTCTGGTAAAACAAAAAGGCAAAAGAAAACACAGCAACACTCACGCGGAGAACAGCAGTCCTTGACAGTGGCAAAAAATTAGGGGAAGATTTCCAGAAAGCTTGAAAAGTTTCTCCATTTTGATGCGCACACATGTAAAGGTCTGGTGGAAATCAGTGACAATTATCTCACACTGAAAACCCAAATTCTTAAAGAAGTATGCTACTAATTTCTATGTAGGCCTGTTAAGCCTAGACATACAGGAAAGTATCAGAAATGCAGAAATGTAAAAAGACATGTATGACCTGCCTATGAGTAAAAACCATGCTCAGCAGCGTCTATCTCAATGTCTGAAGGGCCAGCACAGTTAGGTCATTTTCCACCTTGATTTACCTATTAAACCCCTGGACATTACCTGAGGAATTAAAGCAAGTGTGTCTATGTTGGATTCCACCCAGTACCAGAGTCAGGCTCCCTTCGTCTAGTATGTGATAGACGGATGTGCTCTCCACTTATTCAAATGGACTATCTAATTAAACAACAACAAAAACCACAGCATTATACCATCCATTTTCAGCTTGACATGACATTGTGTATAGTATTTGATTTGGCTGCAGAAGCTGGTGCAGACAACTCGTTACTGCTTGTTTTTTTAAACAGCATCATGACAGCACTTTTCAGCAGTGAATCTTCACATCACTTCTGCTCTCAGTTTCACTTGAAAACCAGAAAACCAGGTTACAACGCAGGAACGTTTATTCAACAGCGCTTGAATAAATCATACCTGAGCAACTTCATAGGAATGAAGCGAACTCTCAGACATATAGTGTATACAGAAAACAGGAGAACACGTCTCATTCTTTGGCTCACTCTAATGTGTGTAACAAGTGGATTCCACCATAAAGATCTATATGAGAACACCTATCCCTCAAAAGAAGTAACAGATGAATGTATGTTTGTATAGTCATATACAAAAGTTTGAACACCCTCTGGTCAAATGAAATGTTGGTGTGAATCAAGTTAACAAATCTTCTACAGTAAACAATTTTAGCCAGCAGTTTTATGTGCTACATTTAACATATTGGAAAAAACAACATATTAAATATGCCATAACCTTTGAACATGCCACATTTTATGTACCCCTTCCAGTAATTGAGCAATAAAATGTGTAGGTGTGTTCTCTGTAGATGATGTGTTAACTTGTTTTCATTTAATGCCACTTATTTGTTGAAAATAAACAAAACCCAAAACCTGCATATGACTGAATTTATGTGTATGTCCTCGCTGTTGGAACAAAACCTTTCATTTTTGTTGTTTTGCATTTTTGACATACTTCCAGGTGCTCTTTACACTGTATTTTCACTATGAATGGATCAATACAAATGGAATAAAACCGTGTTACATTAACACACACCGCACATTAAAATGCTTTTCCTTCTCCTGTAAAGTCACTTTTTTGAGATATGAGGTCTTGGTCTGGCAATGACTACATTAAAAAAAACTATTCAGAAGAACACATCCTAATGAACAGATAATGCAATGACAAGATTCTCTCCAGTCAAGTTTCACTTATACTATTCTCCCAATATAGACAGATTTGGGATATCTGGTCTGCAGACACTGCCATTGCACAAAGAAGTAGTCAGCAAAGTGGTAAAGGATTTTCCCAGACAAAGACAGACTTTCCACACGGCAGATACTCTCCACGTAGACCAGTAAGACCCTCTTCATTCCCAGAATCCCTAAGAGCAGTACAGCAGCACACAAAGGTATGCACGTACCAGGTCCATTACACAGCACCTGAAACACACACAGACACCAGGCAACATGAGACTGCATCTTGCAAATATCTACGTTTTTATGCAATCTTTTGAGCAGAAAGATTAAACAAAAAGATTAAACTTGTGGGTCTGTAGATTGAAACTTGAAGACAACTGCCTAAACCCTGTTAAGAATGAAGAGAAATATGAGAGATTCTGGAGTGGAGAAAAGGAGCGGCACAGGAAGGCGGTCAGACTGCTGTGGAAAGAGGCCATGGCTTCTGCAGAATCCATCACCATACTCAATATAGGGCCATGAGCTGGGTGCACATTAATACTGGAAAAATCCAGAATTCTGTCTCTAGCCAGCTAAGACCAATAGGAAAGAGAGGCATCAGACAGTAACAAAAGGGACAACTGTGACCAATGAAAGCAATCAATGAAAGTCAAAAATGTTTGGAATGATATGGATTGGTTAGTGCAGTTCGGCAGTAACTGAAAGTTATATCCAGGTACAGATAAGTAAATACAGTAAAGAATGTATTACTTGATTTTAGGTAGAAACGTAGGCAAGAGTGAGTGGAAAAGGGAGGGCTTTGGAGGGCGCTCTGTCTGAGAGGTGTTTGCATTTCACATGTTCGAGGCAGATCTACTTTTGGGAATGAGGTTGCTGTCACCCAACAGTGAGAAGGTGACTCCAACTTTAAAGATGGCTTGCCTTGTGTACTGAGATTTAAGAGCATTTGCAGTAGACACTGGCCAAGCTGTGAAAATGTTATTTCAATGTGTTCAAATTGCAAGCTTTTAAACATTCTAACTAAAAATTAAAAAATTAGATACTACTTGAAAGTACTGCATATTAGTGGTGTAGACATAACAGGATGCAGTGCATAAACCTCTCGTTACAAAGACGAATTTACATTTAAGTATTCAGTGGTGCAAATACCACAGGCACTGGTCTACACACATGACGAAAAAAGGAGATCTGGTCACATCTTTAACCATACTCTCCACAAATAGCATAGTACATGTGTGGCAGAGACCAAGAAAACAGGACAGGTCTGAATGTCTGACCCCTACAGTGAGACAGTATCTCTCTTATGCTGTGGGTAGCATTCTGCAAGGATGATTTGGGTCACAGCTAATAAATACAAAGTTATTGTGGTTGGTCTCCTCTATTCTATGAAAAAGTATTTCTATCCCGATGGGACTGGCCTCTTCCAGGTTGACAATGCCTCCTCTCCCCATACTACAAGGTATCAGGGGTCACTGAATGGTTTGATTACATTTACTGCATTTGTGTGTTTAAGAGTGACTTACACACACAATTTAATCATGTTACAGACATATAGGTAAATGTAGCGTTAGGAGTCTTGCCCAAGGACTCTTCTTGACATTTTATGTGGGTTTTTCCCTTTAATTTGTCACTCATCTGTATGCATGTATTGTATATATGTTTATGGGCAAATCTGTATCTAATATATCTATATGTAATGTTAGTTTGGACAGTTTTTTTTTATTCTCAGATAATGTGTTGCCAGATTCTTGGCAGTAACAGCTGTGAATATAAACAAAGACTATAAGGCCTGCACTAAAACACGGTACACCTCCATGCTCATCTCTGTTTCACATGACCTAGTCTCGGAAAATATGCAGTGCTTGCTGTGGTGGTGGAGGACTACTTAGACTGGGTTTTTGAAGCTTTATTGTTTGGGCTGGTGCGTCTCTCCAGCTCTTGAGCGGCAGACAGAGTCTAAAGCTCTCCTGCATTCATAAACTTGCACTCAACATTCCTCACATAACTCCCCCCCACCTGAATGTTCACAGCTGAGGTTTCAGCCCAGACCCACACAACTCATTCAAACACACACACACAAAATTTGGCTCTCATTCACATACATCCCATCAATGAACTAAATTACCTCAGTTTTATCACATGCAAATGAAAATCATGCACTGCTAAGTTTTTCACTTTCCCAGTATGTGAGGAAAGCTGAACCTGTTATTAATATAAATACAGTGATCAAATTCTGCAGAATTGTTAAGATGTAAACAAAGTCATTTAGAGCAGTTTAATGTGAAATGTGTCGTTCTAGAGAAAACTGCCTTGAAACTTATCTTAAAATAGGTAAAGATATGTTGTATGATGTCTTAGACATTGGTTTCTGATTGTTTTATGATAAGGCATTGGCCTAAAATGTTTTTACTGAATGCATTCATCGTGGAGAGGTACATGCAGGGTCTTGTAAGGCAAAAAGTAGCCCATAAAGAAAAAAAAAAACACACTTTCTTCAAATTTACTATTATTTTACCATTGTAAACATTACATATAAAAACTCAAAAGACACTGTACAGAAGTATGCAAAAAAAGTTGGGCACCTCTGGTCAAATTACATGTTTTGTTAATTTTCTAAGTGGAACATATCCTCTGCAGTAAACACACTTGTACTCATAAACCACATAAGCAAGCCTATTAAACAATTCAGTGCAGATTGAGGCTAGTGATGACTTAGGCATGCAGTTTGCATAATGATAGGTGGATGGTATGGGCTTTTAGTACTTCTTAGTTGCACTAGCTTCACAGCTCTAATGCAAAACTTAAAAAAAAGTTAACTTTTGGCACCAAACATGTCTTGGCTGATCAGATATGTTAAAGGTAAGGAGAAAAAACGTTCATGAATAGCTTTAAGAGATGAGGTGCCTCTGACCTCTTAATGTTAATGTTTTGCCAGTCACTTTACAATGACACATACCAAGTCATAGCTTGTCATACCTAACTGTGATACACAGGTGAGAATGCAAAGAGTCTCAGGACAATGTGATGAGGTCACCTCAAACCTCCATCAGGTAAAACACGTCACATCACAGAGTGAATGACACCAGGTGGGCATGAGTCCATCAGCTTTTGTCATTTCCTCACTCAAAGACGGAGTGAGTCAGCTCACGCCTGACTAGACAGCAGGTGTGAGGCTAATAAAAGGCTGAAAGCCTCTTATCTGACCTGCAGTTACGCAATAAAAGAGTCGGGAATACCCAGAGGCTCTCAGGGAACTACTTATTAACCCATTATCAATCTTCCTGAAACTCAAACAGAAAATCAGACATCAATAATACAGTGGTGACAAGCATACATTTATGGGAGTGTGTTCATATTGGCATGATAATAACACAAAGAACGAGCTGTACAAACACCCCCCCTGTTTCAATACCATGGGCTGCTTTAAACACCGATGGTGATGGAATATGTGAATAAAAGCCAACAGGGCAAGGTCTTCAAACTCATTATGACAAAGACAAATCTCAATTCATCAAGCCTGAGCTGGGTCACCATGACCGCTCTCCCCTTCAAGGCCCAAACGCACTGACAGATAGTGCGTTTGCACAGCTGTTTTACGTAGACGTCTGCGAAAACAAATTTTCTGTTATTGTTATTTCTGACAGCTGGATACGTTCTGGGTCGCATTACCAGAGAGATGTCACTGAGGCTCTGTTTAAACAGATGGCTGTCCACATAAAACTAAGCACAGCCAGAATTAAATCTAAATGAACATCATTGTCATTGCTGAGAGTTGGAAACACTTTAATTGCTGGATCCATTTCTAAACTACAATAAACGATAAAGTAAAACAAAATATTCTGGTTAAACCACTTCACACCTGCATGTGAAATTTGCATGGACATAAAATAAATGCATATTTAATACTAGGCACAGGGCTTGACATGTTTAGTTAAGCCTCATTCTTCAAATGCTGCCTGGGGAATCCTTCAGTCACTCCAAGCATCACATGGAAGGAAAGGAACAGAATCTCATATTCCATGTCGGAATCTTCCTTAAAACAATCAACAGACCATTCCATTCCATCCTAACAATTTCCTAATAAGGTTAAGATAAAACATATGGGACTGAGGTACTGGGCTGGATGTTCAAAGGAAAAACAGAGCAGTGAAAAGCTGAGCTGAGTGGGGCTGAGCAGCGAGGAGCCGTGCTGGAACACCACTGAGCCAACCTACTCACTGTGCAGAGCTCAAGCCACTGTCATTTGTTTTTGTAAATCATATGACCCGGATGACCCCTCCTATCGTTGCTCCCTATTTTTCCACACAAGGAAAAGTTGAGCCCCTCTGGCACTCTAACAGATGGAACGGAGAAAAAGCCCCCCCCCGGCTACATTTTGCATGTGTGGATCTAAATTCCAGCATCTGAAATTGAGCCTTTGCTCCATTATACTGCAGAAATGCACTAGGAAAAAACGTACGTGGGTTTCTCCCTTGTTACTAAATTCTTTTTAACATAATCTTTCACTAATTCAAATGCTCATTAAATGACCTGGCAAAAGTCAAAAGAAATGCAAATTTAACTGATAAGGTTTCCGGTAAGCTTTTCAAATGTTAGTAATTTTCAAATAACATTCTGGAATGTTCATTATCCATCTAACCCAGAAAGATGGAAACTAATTCATAAACACAAACAGAAACCTAAAGGTACAGAATCTCATGACGTATCATCATTACAGAGGCTTTATAAGTGACTTTCAGCACAGCCATTATGTAACCCATCTTCTCAATGGCTCTAAACCAACAGCAGTGTTCAGCATGAGTTGTACTCCACTGGCTTCAGATAAGGCTGTATTGCATTAGTCTGGATTTGATGAGACACCGTCAGGCTCTTGGATTGTGCTGACACATCTGGAGGTGGTGGGCTGTGCTGAGAGGTACTGTGATTCACACATGTCCTTTTATGGCAAACAGAGGTTTGAGACCACCCCCTCTTTGCTCTCTGGCTCCCAGGCCTGACCCCCCATTTCCCTCGGATTCCTCCCCGGAATGCAGCCCCTGCGGCTGCCTGCCTCTCACAGACATGCTCAAGTTTGGTAAAAACAAACAAGAGGGGAGCTTTAAGTCACACTGAGGAATGCAGCCGCACAGAGCCGACCTGGGCGTCAGACGTCACGGCCAGCGTGCCGGACCCCATAATGAAGCCCCTACAGTCTCTGAAATATAACTGTTTAAGCCCAAACTGAAGCACGTCTAAATCAGCAATGGGTAAAGACAATGCAGTAGACCTACATGCAAAATATAAGGCATTATCTAACATTCTTCAGATTAAACCTATAAATATTTTGAGTATTATGTTGGTCAAAGGAAGAATGCTAGGATAGACATATCTGCTGAAGTAAACAGCCAAGCACAGAAAATTACCAATAACAGACGATCAATCTCATTAAAAATAAATGAATAAATAAAGTGTGCAGTTCAAAACTTCCAAAAAGCCACTTTCCAAGAAATATGTTTTGACAGTTTTCCCACCCTACTGCCACCCCTTCCAAACATACTTCACGGAAAAGAAGAGTGGAAAATGATGGCACTGATTGAAGAAGGAGTGCTAATTACAGATTAAGGGAAGAGTTGGCCTGCTCCTTCTGACATATCAGGCTGCTCCTTCACTGTGCTGGGCTCTCACACTCTCACTCTCACTCTCTCTCTCTCTCCTTCACTCCCATCCTCCCTCCCACTACAGCTCTCCAACACTACCTGCTTAATTACGCTCCACCCCGACCCGGCCAGTCGTCCTGGCAACTGAGAAACCCGATGCGGTTTGGCTCCTCCTCTCCGGGGACGCGCAGCTGGGCCGAGGAGCCAGTCAGACCGTGCCACATCCTGAGAACAAGACCCGCTCCCACTCTCCCTATTATACAACTGCAGGAGGCTCCCAGTGTCACTCCTACTCAACCCCTCCAGCACTTTCCCTCCTTTTTTATCTTCCTGTCTCCACACTCTTCCCTATTTTCTCTCTACTTTCACTCAACTGGAGACAGGATGAGAAATGCCAGATGTTTTGATTGTCTGAACCACTGATAACCCTCTAATATGATAGCCTTATCATCTAGTGGGAGTAAAAAATGTCACTGCTCTAACATTCACAGGCTTAGTTAATGGAACCCGAAACCTCAGAGTGGTACAGTATGTGTGGTTATGACTGATGAAAGAATGCAAGATGTTAATTAGTAGGTCAGAAAACTGTGGAAAGTTTAACAAGTTACTCATAAGGCTACAAAGTCCTTTATAACAACTGAAGCGAAAGCTAACAATCTCTCTGCATAATTGCATCTTTCTAAATGTACCACTCTGCAGGAACAGATCACAAGCAAAAACACGCAGTATAATGTGCATGAACAGTGACTTCTTTTATTTCCCCCATCAAAGAACTAACTCTGTGAACAACCTAATTTACACACAGTGGGTATGTAGCGTTAGCCTTAGGCTTGCTTACTGTAAGAGAGTCGGAAGTTGTATATCAAATAATAAACCTATAAAATTGAGGTGTTGCGTTCCAGTTTGCAAGAACAGAACAAAGAAATCTACAATTGCCTCATGATGCAGACACGTACAAATTGTTGCTTTTGCCAATGAACTACAAACTAGCAAGAGAGATGTTCAGTAAAGTTACTGTGCAAAATCTCTGTGCAGGTGGTGACCATTTTTCACCTGATGATTACTTGTCTGCATGACTTGAATAAAGACCTAGATGCGGTTTGAGAAAAGTTTTGGGCATGTATTTACAGAAACAGTTTGGGTGACTATTGGCTTCCAGCGTTAGCATCAATAGATTTGCAGCTAGCAGCTCTAGTTCTAAACTAAAGAAGCAAAATTCGGACACCAAGTATGTCTTGGCTGTTTTACTGCATTTGGGAGAAGTGGAAAATCATGTAAATTTGTTTTTCACCAAACTTGGCCTTTAAATAAAAACTCCTTTGGGGGGCTATAAAATGAAAGGTCAAGTGATTATAGTGTCTACCAGTTTTAGCCATTGTACTGAAATGTCTAGGAATAAAATCTCTAAGAATCAAAGTAAAAAGAGATCAGTCCCAATCAGTTATGCTTAAGGTGAAACTGATTAACTAACCAACTTGAAATTTAATTTAATAAAAGTAATTTAATATTTGAGTCAGACACCAGTGATGTTTTAAACACTTATTCTATAGCTTGCAAGTAAGTTCTTTAGACCTCAAATTTGGCTGACGTTTAATGCCGACATTCATAATGTGTTATTTTATGTTGGAGGGCCAGACAAAGCTATGGTTGGTACGGCAGACAAAAAAAGATAAAATAGTATGGGAAATGACATCTAGTGATGATAACACATAGTACGGGTGATTCTTTGAGATAAGAGAACTCAAATATGTGAAGAAGACAAGATCACAATATACTTAATAAGTCTAATCATGCGAGAAAATACATTTCATACTTGACTCACATACAATGTACACATTTGGTTAAGAGCACAATCATGTAATCAGAGGATTGATCAGGAGACAATTTTAGTCTGCATTACTATTATTAGCAGCTAAATATAGAAAGCCAGGGAAAAATGAATAATAGAAACTCTTTCATCCTCAAAGTAGAGCTGAAGTCACTTAAAGGCAAAATTCATAAATACGTTATGAATGTTCTAGTCTGGGAGCATATTACAGACAGGCCAAAGAGGGAGCTAGATGGGCTGAGGAATGGAGTGTAATGAAAAGTTAATGAGGCTACGGAATATACGAGCAGTGCTGGGGAGCCTGCAGACCTACCACATCAGGTCTGAGCCTGAAGACCAGAGGAATGGAGTAGAGCAGAGCATACAGAGTACTGAGCACAGAGGAGCTCCACGACTGACGAACCTCCCGACTGCGAGGGATCCGATGAATGGTAAACTAAGAAAGAAGAAAATGAGAATCAATATGACGTACATAACTGCTGGCGTTTATTTAATTAAAAAAACCTTCTAATTATGCAAAACAGTGGACACGGGGCCTTTTAAAATACACTAAATAAGTGTTCAGCCAGTAAAGCAACAAAAGAACATTAACAATAAAAGCTATAGTTGTTACAGCAGTTACAAATATTAGATTAGATGACAGATTTGAAACTTTTCTGATTATCAAATGACAATTTTATTTGAGGAATGTAATCTACTTCCTATTTTGTAACGTTTAGTCTTTCACATTCAGACCTCATTCATTCATCTCATTCTGTTCGGTGGATGCACTGCTGTGCTAGTGCCCACACCTCTTACTTTCAATTCAGCATTTTATTTTAGATAAAAATGATCTTTAAAAAGAGAAGAATAGAGCCTAACCAGATTTAGTTCCTATGATGACAGATGCAGGATGTAATAAGAATTCCTCTACAGTTCTACAGGGAATTCACAACTTTGGGAAGTTTTGGACTTTACACTTATTCACCCCACTCAAGTTGTTTTGGCTGCTACTTTTACTTCTGTGTGAATTATTATATGATAGGAATTAAAATAATTTATTTAACAACAATTATTAAACTGAAACAACAGTGCTTTTATTTGAGGGTAGTTTGAGGCTTCTCTACCCACCTCTGACCACTTGACGGCTAAGGATTCACAGTGATTTTCATGCCCAGCAGTTCACTCTACACTCTCAGCAAAAAGGGTTCGATATAGTACAGTGATCTGATTTATAACAATATTTGAACCCTTTCAGCGTTATATAGAAGCATTTTTAAAGCCGATTTAAACGATTCTTTAAAGGACAATATACAACAGGTTTACCATTGTATAGAAGAACAAGTTAACTATGCAAAGAATGATCAATACATTGAAATTGCTCTTTAAGTTGTCACAGTTCTAAAACTGTTGACTTTACTGCAGAACTTCTTTTCACTGTGAGATTACAGGGAGAGTGTGCCATCTGCTGGTCAAATGTGAACCGGCAGCATGTGTAGGAGCTCAGTAACGAGCTCAGCACAAACACTGAGGTGTAGCTACAGAACTACTGAAAGCTTACCTGTGCTGGACTGTCCCCTTTCACTTTCGAGGATTCAAATGTGCGAATCTTGTCTTCACTCATCTTGTCAGTGTCTGCTATCACATAATGTCGAGGGGTGTAGGCTTGGGACAAACTCTCCATCAACCGTATGATCTCTGTCGTGTGTCCGCCTGTGATTCATCAACAAATACATACAAAATGAGATGCACATCGATGTCTTTAGCGTTCACCATAGCCTTGTCAGACAACTCGGTAACGACAGGCTCTTACCTGATCCGGCCACTACTAGAACACACACGGAGCCCTTTTTTCCAGGTTTGCAGTCTGTAACTCTCCGGATCACCATGACTAACCGTAAAACCAAAACCAGGAGCGCCAGAAAAACGCCGCACAAAACTCCGTAAAGGACCGACAGAGACATGGTGCTCTCACCAGACAGTACAGACAGACGAACAACAGGCGCTACCTTTAAAATAGGGGGAACGTTAGCCTGAGTAGTAACTCATAAATAACAGAAATCGTTGAACACGTGTCAATACGAGCATTTGTCGCAGTGGACCTTGTAAAGACGACTACAGAAAGAGTAGGTTAGCTAAGTAAGTTAGCTAACGCTAGCTAGCTAACCGAGCTAAGTGTGGACAGAGAGAGAGAGAGTCTCTCCTGTAAACCTACGCCTTTAAGGAGAAACAGACTTCTGTCAGGGTTTCAGCACTTTAAGTACACTGTCTCAGATGCTATAACTAAACGATTTACGACCCGACAGAAAAGTTGAATTGGTTGGTTGATTCCCTTCAGCTTACAGCTAACTTCACCATCTCAGCTGTTTTGACACACTACGGAAAAGCAGAGAGGCCAATATTCATGCAGCGGAGCAGGGGAAGGTGGGAAATGGAGTCCTCTACCGGTGTAGTTTAGTAAAGAATGCTGTTGTCAAACACTAGATGGCGCTCTCCTCATACTAGCACACTAAATAGTATGAAAAGTAGCCCTCACATTAGAAGCGCACTCATTAGTGTAGTAGGCGAAGCGCATAACTGTGTGGGACGCGGCATTAGATCAGCCAGTGAGACACGTTCAACAGCTGCTTTACTCTGCTGCACGTTAGCTGCTTATTAAACATCTGCTCATAAAACAATGACAGTCTGAGGTATTTGTTGATTGAGAATACATTTATTGGGGTAAAATAATGCATTTATTGAAGCAAGCTGCTGTTGGCTTTGTATTCACCAACTTTCATAATTGATTCTACGTTTAAGGCAAATCAGTGTAGCTGCAGCACCACTCAAGGTGGAATGGAAAATTTAAATGAGAAGCTGGTGAATAAGACGCTAACTTCAGTTTATATATGATTTTACTATTTAAGAGCTTTGACAGCTTATGTAATCACTGTATATAGTTTCTAATCACTTGCCCAGAACTTTCCTTTCGTTTTAGAAAGTAGTAGGATTTCACCAAAAAAAGCAAAGAAAACTATGTATCTTTTTTTCTACAGCAAACTAGCAGTGATGTCATACTAGTGTACAAAAAAGGAGACATACAGGTGTTCTTTTTCTTTTGCTTTTTTAGTGAAATACATCCTTCTACTTTCTAAAATTAAAGGAAGATCCTGGACAAGTGGTGAGAAACTATTTTAACTTTTCGTTTTTATCCATTTAGCTCCATTTACCCAATTCTTAGAACTCACTCTCGGGCGCCCTCTGGCGTTTTGCTGTCATATTTTTGACGGAAGACATAGGAAGTGGCCAGGCTCCCCTTAAACCGGTGTGGTGCCCAATCTCACATCCCTCTGGCTCTGTCTTTAATTTGCCTGTTAAAAGGCCCCTACGATTTCTAAATGAATGCGCAGAGCTAGACTGCAGTAGGGTCAATGGGGCACATGCATGTAAATGCATTTATTTTCATAATATCACAAAACATATTTCAAAACATATTGTGCACAATTATGAATCTTTTAAATAGAAAAAGATACATAAAGTATCCAAACTTTATCAAGTGTATAAGATATAAGAAGTGTATAATATTCACCTATTTAGTATACCGATATCTAGTTTCAGCTGCAAAAAATCAGTAAGATTTTGATTAACGCAAAAAAAAAATCAACTAAAAATACTGTATTTTTTTTACATTGTAGGTCCTGCATATTATGATTGGTAAGTGATCTGTGTGATTGTGGTTTGTGTATTTTAAGATCAGTATCCCAGTATTTTGAAAACAAACACACATAACTCTCATAATAATATTCTACGTATATATTTGCAAGACTATGGTATGTATTTCACACTTAAAGGTCATTAAGCCAAAGTGCTATTGCCTTTTGTAATACGCACTTTTTTTCCTTATCTAGCACACCTGATTCAACTTATTAACTAATTATCAAGCCCCTCATGGATGGGTCAGGTATGCAAAGTACAGTGAATGCAAAAATATGTTGAGCATGGGGACTGGAAACCCCTGATGTAACTGCTGTTCCTGATTGAGAATTCTTTCCTTATTTGTTTGGTCTGACATCAATCCCAGCTCCTTTCTATGGTAAAAGCCAGTGTTGTAATTAATCCCAAAGGTCCTGAGGTCACAGCTGTGTTCAGGCCTGTCATGCTCTTTCACCAATCTTGAATTGTCTTGCTGGAATGGGAAAGGGCCTCCCCTAAACTGTTCCCACAAATTTGTAAGCACACAGTTCTCTAGAATGTGACTCAATGCTGTATCAAAATATTAAAATATTACTGGAACTAAGGTTCCCAGTCCACTCATTAGAAGGGATGATCGCATGTCTTTGGTCATGTAGTGAATTTATATGGCAAACATGCTAAAATGTACTCACTGCTCACAGAATAGCATGTTTTACTGGTGAATATTACAACATGTTGTAAAAAATATTTAATAGGTTTACTGCAGTGCATTATTGTTAAAAATAATGTAATATCTATTCAGTATTATAAAGTTTACTGTATTAATTGGCAATGTGTATACATAGAGATTAAAGTTATATAACACTAAAACACTATAAGAACATATATATATATATATACATAGTAAATCTGACAAACACATAAAAACTTACCAACAATTGCTGCTGCAATTTTCAGCATTACATACGGCCATATGACTTTCTGGCAAGCCTGACTAACCAATCACAGATGTCATTTTACACAGGTGCTCAAAACAGGAGGAACATTGATAAAGTATAACATGATCATGTGCACATGCTTTATACAGCTTGTCAAAGAGAATGTATTCTCTGGTTCACTGTGCCTGTTTAAGGGCAAATCAAGCATATAATAAAATAAAACTAGCCATCTTTGAAACTCTGCAGACATTTTAATCTGATCAAGCTTATTGAAAGAGATTCAGAAAAAGTGCAATTCTAGCTGCAGTTTGCGTTCTCCTATTAATAAATAGCCTAATAAAACTATGAAATGTTTTATTTGAGTGTCATAAAATCATTGTATCACTGATACGGCTTCTATATCTCTACAAATAGACTCTGAAGTAAGTAGTCCTTATCTTTGAGTTAAGTGTTAATTACATTAGTGTGTTCCAGCTGAGATTAACATTCAAGTCTGTAGAATTTGACTGTAATGAGACATAACAATGTTAAGTTCATTTTAAAAATGTTATTAAGTAGCTCATATGACATAAAGATATGGTACTGGTATAACCCTGCTTGATCACACAGGTAATTATGAATTGGAGGAGGTCAGTTAGAGCAGGGAAATCAGTGCTAGATTAGCAAAATATTCAGAGTTTACTTGATCAGTGTGTCACATGCAAATAATTACTTAACTGGTACATTTCCTGACTGAAGTCTTGAGTGTCAGCGGGTCAGCACTGAGATCAATAGTGTTGTATAAGACATTTCAATTAGAAGACGATGTGGAATTTCCTTTGTGTATATCAAAGCACAAACATTGTGGTGTTTGCCATGTTCTAATCCAATCTTGGAATTTATTTATGTACTTTTACGCCATGGGAAGTTTACATGTGATTGCAGCAGACTTCCTGTTTTGTGTCTGTTCTTAACGCTCGTCATTGGTTTCGGAGAGGTTCGGCTGTGATGCTATGTTGATGACCTCGGCCAGGCCACTTAACTGGCAGACATTACATCCATGTAGTCTTCAAATATTTATTGCTGTGTCTGCCTTTTGTAATGGCCTACAGACAATTTCCAGTTTCCTGTGTCTGCATTCTCATCTGAATTTTGACAGCTCTAATTCAGTTCAGCTTACATGTAGTCAAATGTAATCCTACTTACAAGTTATTTGTATGATTTTCATTACTTTTTCAGCTCAGTAATTGGATCCTGATTTGCAGAGGTACTCAATGTACTCAAGTAAAATTTCAGTGGATTTGTTGCTGAGTATTTTCAAACGATACTGCTTTCACTTCTAAATGTAAGCACAGTATGTGGAGTATGTGGAGTGGCCTGCGCACCATCACTGACTACAAAGAAGGTGTGATCTGTGATAGCGGCTCTTCCTCCTCACTTGCAGATGAACTTAATGCTCATTATGCTCGTTTTGAGGCAATTAACACCTCACCTACTGAGAAACTCCCAGTAGATGAGGAGAGCTGCGCTCTAGCCATTCCCCTGTCTGAGGTGGTGAGATCCTTCAGGGCAGTTAACCCATGCAAGGCACCCGGTCCCGATGGCGTCCACAGCCGTGTACTTAAAGCATGTGCCAACCAGCTGGCTGAGGTTTTCACTGACGTCTTTAACCTCTCCTTAAGACTGTCAGTGATTCCCAAGTGCTTTAAGGAAACCACAATTGTTCCGGTCCCCAAGAAATCGTCTGTCACCTGCCTGAATGACTACCGCCCTGTTGCACTGACATCAACAGTTATGAAGTGCTTCGAGCAGCTGGTCAAAGCTCACATCTGTTCAACACTTCCAGCCACCATGGACCCTCACCAATTTGCATACCGCTCCAACAGATCCACAGACGACGCCATTGCACTAACAGTACACACTGCTCTCACACACTTGGACAGAAAGAACACATATGTAAGAATGCTGTTCATAGATTACAGCTCAGCATTCTACACAATCATCCCTGCCAAACTCATTCCTAAGCTCACAGACTTGGGTTTGAACTCTCAACTGTGCAACTGGATACTGGACTTCTTGACGAGCAGACCTCAGGTGGTGAAAGTTGGGAACAGCTTCTCTTCCACAGTGACTCTGAGCACAGGGGCTCCCCAGGGATGTGTGCTCAGCCCCCTCCTGTACTCCCTGTATACACATGACTGTGTAGCCAAACACACGTCTAACATCATCTTCAAGTTTGCTGATGACACCACCATCCTAGGCCTCATCACTGATGGAGATGAAACAGCCTACAGAGATGAGGTCAGCGCTCTGGCAGAGTGGTGTCATGACAGCAATCTCTGTCTCAACATCAGCAAAACAAAGGAGATGATCGTGGACTACAGGAAGCGGCAGAGGGGTGGTCACTCTCCCCTGTTCATCAATGGAGCCGAAGTGGAGAGAGTCAGCAGTGTGAAGTTCCTCGGCGTACACCTCACTGATGACCTCACCTGGTCCCTCCACACCAACATTATCGTAAGATCTGCCCGTCAGCGTCTCTTCTTTCTCCGCAGGCTCAGGAAGTTTGGTCTGCCTCCTCAGATCCTCACCAACTTCTACAGATGCACCATAGAGAGCATCCTCACAGGCTGCATCACTGTCTGGTACAGCAGCTGCACTGCCTGTGACC